CAAACCAAACCCAACCCGATCTCTAAAACAGAACCCGACGGACCGACCGACCTACCGACCCTACTCTACCCTACCCTACCCTACCCAACCGACCGACCTACCGACCGACCGACCCAACCCACCCTACCCCCAACCCAACCCAATCCGGCTCCAAAACACAACCCGAATAACCGACCGATCAAACCCACCCTACCTTCTACCCTACCTACCCTACCGAACCCAACCCCACATACCACAGTGAACAGCAGGGGCGAGGGGGAGGGAGGGGGTGGGTGTACTCATAGTCGTGCATGCCGTAGTCGTTAGACCATTGACCTCGCATCCCTACAAAGCCGGGACGGAGCACGCCGGGTTCTCACCGGACCAGGCTCTCACATCACCAAGCGCGAAGCGCCGTGAGGTATTTGGCGAGTCGCATAAAGGGTGAGCTGCATCCTGATAAGGGTGTTCGGCATCTTGTGCTTACTTCCTTGCGTACGGATGACAGCTGCGTATGACTTAATTTATTTTCTGGTGCTTTCACTTCCAGAGACAGTTGTAAGCACTGTGTAACTGCCTCGAGGATGCTTGACCATTTTAACACAACGTGGTGCGATCATCCCCCTTGCGCGGAGTGAGGGTTCTCGACCCCGCACAACATGATCTACTCGACCACCATTATGGTTACCGCAAAAAAAAAAAACAGAGGCAAAAAAAAAAACGGTAACCTTGTTGCCGAGTTCACGAAGCGAATTGGCTTGTTTTACAACGTCGTTGCCAAGCGACGAAAACCCAATCCCGATGACAAACACCGAGGGAGCGGCTTGTTTTACAACGTCGTTGCCAAGCGACGAAAACCCAACCCCGATGACAAACACCGGGGGGGGGGGGGGGGCAAGGGGGGGCAAGGGGGGGGGCCCCAAAAAAAAACCCCTGCCCCCCCACCAAAAAAAGGGCAATTTCTTTCCACTAGGGAGGGGGGGGGGAACCCCAAAAATTTTTGATGGCAGGGGGGTACCCCCCCCTCATTTTTCTTTCTGGGGGGTTTCTTAACTTGGGGCCCAAATTCACCTAGTTTTCTTACCCCTTTTTTCGGTTT